ACAGTGTTGTTGGGACCATGTACATTTCTGAGACTATGTCTTCCGGTTGACCCTTTTATCCTCATGAAGTACACCTCTTTATCTCTAAGAATACATTTTATTTTGAAATGTGTTTTTCTGATAGCATCATGGCCACTCCAGCCTGCTTAAGCTTACTGTTGGCATGGTGTACCTTTTCCCATGAATTGACTTTCACTTCAGTATTTAGGCTGCAAGTGCATATCTTGCCAACAGCACACCTCTGCCTCTCAACTTATTAACATTTTAATGGGAGTGGGGTTGACTTGTAAGGTTTATTGTAGCGGCTACCATTAAAGGTTTGGGGTCTACCCAGTTACTTTTCCTGTTTCTTGTTCTCCTAAAGCTATAATTCTTCCTGATGACTTGTCAAAAATCATAGAACAAAAAAATGAGGGAACACCTTTAAGGTTCTGAGCAAAACATAGTCCAGAAGTATTTATCTTGCAAAAGTATCCTTCAAGAAGGAAGAAAAAATAAACAAATTCTCCAATGAATGGTAAAGAATTTCATCACCTATAGATCTGAACTATATAAATGGTAAAGAAATCCTTCAGTTTGAAAGCAAATAGTACCAGTGGAAAACTCAGAAAACTCAGAATCCTACATAAGAGCATCAGAAATGGCAACTGTCTGACTCAATGTAAAAGACCTCTCTCTCTCTCTCTCTCTCTCTCTCTCTCTCTCCAGGGATTGAACCCAAGGGCACTTAACCACTGAACCATATCCCCAGCCCCTTTGTCTCACTAAGGTGTTTAGGGCCTTGGTAAGTTGCTGAGGCTGGCTTTGAACTTACAATCAATCCTCCTGCCTCAGCCTCCCAAGAGGATGGACTTACAGTCATGTAGCACCATGCCTGGCTCTCTTTGACCATTTATGCTTACTTAATAAATACAAATAGAGCTTTTTCTTGGGGACTTTGAATGCTGAATATATATATATATATATATATATATATATATATGTATTTAATATAATGTCTAAACATAACAATGGGACAGTTTAGAAGTCTAAAGATTTCTATGTGAACTAAGACAATGTTAAGTGGAGGACACTGAAAAGTTAAGATGAGCACTGTAATCCTAAGAAAACCCCTATGAAAGTAGTGTAAAAAATAAAGCTAGCAATAAAATTAAAATGGAATTCTAAAAACAAGTGAAATCATTCAAGAGGAGACTTTCGAAGGGCAGTTTCAGTGGATTAAAGTTATTTGGCAGTCTTTTCTACCAATTATTTGTATAAATCACTCCAATTTCTTCTGGATGCCTTTATTTGTTTCTGAAGAGAATAATGTCCTTGATCGCATAGTCGATCCCTGTACTTAGTGATTTGGAACAAGCACCCCAAATCACAGTAGCTTAATATTACCAGGGTTTATTATCTTGCCTCTTTTCTATGGGCAATGTTCAAGACCAGAACTGTTTGACATGGAAGGACCTCATTCACAGTTCATTCCTGTAACTCTTGGCCACAGCCCTCAGTTCCTGGCCATGGAGGGCTCCCTTTAGTTGACTGTCCAGTTGAAAATGACTTAGCCAGGAATGAATGATGCAAGAGGGAGGATAGCAAGCAAGAAATCCCAGTGTCTTTTTGTCTGTGGCTGCACACCATCGGTTCTGCTTTGTCTCTTCACTTAGAGTGAATTTAATAAGTCCATCCATGTTCCTGGAGAGGGAACTAGTTCCCCTTCTTGAGTATCAAGGAACTTGTGATCAGCTGAAAGCCATCGTAGTCATCCTTCTGACCACAAATTATTCATATTCCTTCCACATGCACAATAAACTGCTTTCTGTTCAAGACTTCCAAAAATCTCATTTCATCACCTAATCAGTGTCAACTCCAGAGCCTCATCATCTAAATCAGGTGCAGGCACAGATATGAGTTCTTTAAATGAACTGATGTCAGTGCAGCTCTCCACATACAGTTCACGAAAGCTCACCCTGTGGACTTAAAAAAGGAGCTATTTGCACCCTGACAAAGCTCGTATACAATGATGAGGCACAGATGCTGGTCCCAGGAAGTCCTGGCTCCTTTTGATATGAGAAGGCCCAGGAACTCAGAAATAGAAAAAACCTGTAAAATTTCTTGGGGCCACAATGACTCCTAAGGAGGTAAAACCTGTGAGACTTCTTTCTTCCTAATGTACCACTCCCACTTTTAAAAGGTTTGCTTGTCCCAGAGTTTTTCTGACATGGAACTTCTGAAACAATTATATTTCATCCCTCTTCCTTCAAAGCTAGCTTTGAATAAAACCCATTTTTCCTACCAATTTGATTTCAAATTTTTCTGGAGCAAAGAAAATTATAGCCTGGCTTCCTTCTTCCCAGGCAGTATTACAGCTGCCCAATAACAATTGAGTCCTACCCTCTTCTTCCCAGAGTGGGTTATTGTGCTAGTTGGTAACAATCTGGCCTTTTTTTTGGGGGGGGGGGGGTGGTAATGGAGAGAAAGAGAGAGAAAGAGGAGAAACATAAGGAGAAGGGGAAGAAGAAGAAGGAAGATCTTTTATTTGTCTTATGGGGCACCAGTTTTATTGTTTGGGGGCTGCACCATTTCCTTTCTTCCTTCCTTCCTTCCCTCCCTTCTCTCCATTCTTATGACCATATTTAGCCTCAATTATCTCTTAAATACCCTGTCCCCAAAAACAATTACTTTGGAAATATAATTTCAACAAATACATTTTCATGGGGGGAGTGGGATTGTACAAGCACTCTGTCCTACCCTAGACCCTTTTTGCATATAAGAACATTCATCTATCAATACCCTCCCAAATCTTAATCCAGAATTATTTCTAATGTTTTATGTCCATAGTCTCCTCTAAATGTTTAATTTAAATTAGATATGGGTTAGACAGACATTGAAGCAAATGTCTCTCCAGCTGTCATCCTATGAAACCAGATACCACCAAGGCTCAGCTGGGCAGCCCTGACTTCCAGACTCCAGGCAGCAACAGCCTGGCCTGTGGAAACTGCAGTGGGCCTCCCCCTTTGAGTCCTAGTTGGAGGCTGTCTTGTCCACTCTGATGGAGCAGTGGCCTATGGTGGGAGTGGTAGCCCTGTACTGTAACGGAAATTCCCTTAGTTAATTCCCTTAAAATTTTTTCACTGTAGTTTTATCAATGGTGGCTCTAGGACTTACTGTCTCAAAAACTACTTCAGATTTATATTAACTTAATTTCAGCAAAATATGGAAATTATTGATAGTTGTATTTCCTGTTCTTTTTTGTGCTGTTATCTTTATATACATACCTGAATATGTTATAAACCCAACAATCATTGTAGGTATTGATTTGTGTAATTTTTAACAGATTTTGGTTTTTTGTTTTCAAGCTCACAGATTTTTATTCTCCAGTGATTTTTATTCTCCATTGATCCCACTTCACATCTCAGATACTTTCATCCTCAGAAATTTGATTGTAATCTTTTATGTAACCTCTCCTCTTTATTTATCTGTTTTTGTGATACTAAGGATCAAACTTAGGGCTTATACATGCTAGGCAAGCACTGTAACCCTAGACCTTATTTTATTTTTAGACATGTTTTTTTTTTCCTCAGGCTGTAACTTACACTTGCAATCTTCCTGCCTCAGTCTCCTGAGTAACTGGAATTACAAGCTCATGCTATCATGACTGATTTTTCTGCATACCTTTTATGTCTCTTGTGTAACCTTCTGAGCATGAGTAATTAATTTACAATAACTGCCTTAATGTTAATTGTCTGGATTATTTTTTCTGCTATGTATGTGCTGCATTTTCTTGTTTTCATTGCTTATGTGGCAAAATGACAGTGCAGGGAGTGGTCTTGATAATCAGGGATGTGCTCCTCTCTCCATTTCCCCAATTATGATGATAGGAACACAGACACATAGACATAGTTAGATGTTAGCTGCACAAAGAGAAGTTTGAAATCACACTAAGGAGCAGAAAGAGAACTGAAGAAATCCTGTATTGCTCAGTCCCACAGAAGGCAGCTATCTTACACTGTAAAAGAAAGTATTATGAACAGATTCAGATCATTCATTGTAATGGAGACACTCTGAACAATCCATTAAACACTCAAAATGTCAAAAATCCCTGTGAGAATCCCTGTAACTCAGGAGTCTCCTCATTCCCCAACCCCTATCTATCTTCAGGCCTCTAGAGTCTCACCTTTTTAAGCAGTGAGAGACACATCAGAGCCCTGGACACTGTTTTTTTTTTTGTTGTTGTTGTTGTTGTTGTTTACCTGTTTCAGAACAAAAACAGAACCTGGTCAGAGCCCACAGGATGTGGGTAGTGGAGGAATTATGGGATGGATCAGCTCCCCCATTACTTCCCACTACCCTATTCCATGGGCCTCAGGCATCAGTGTTCTTCATACTTACAGGCAGCTGGAGCATAGGGCCCTTTTTTTAACACCTGTAGGATGAAAGCATCCTGTGAGAGAACAGTCTGGAGATAGGTCTGGGGAAGTCTCCAGAACTGTGACTGCAGATGCAGGGAAGGATCAGGAGATAATAAGAAAGTAGATAGGTAGGGATGGAGCCAATTGCTCCCCTGGAGGGTTGCCCTGAATAGGAAAATTCCCCTGTGGCCTTTAAATGCTGGAAATCAGGTCCCCATACTACAAAAATCAAGAGGATATATTTTTCCCTTATTTTATATGTGATTTACAAAGAGTAAAAAGTATCCTAGGTTGGGTAAGGAAAGATAGTATTACCCATTAACAAGGCAGGACACACTTCTACTAGATACTTGAAACAGAAATTCAGACTCTGCACTTTTCTGCTGCCCCTATCCAGTGTGGGCAACTGAACCAAAGTCACTCCTGTGAATTTGGGGTGACACAAAATACTACGCAAACATGGAATACCTTTTTTTAAGTTTCAGGACTGCTTCCCCAGCTCCTAACCTCAGGCTCCCATAAGAAGGGCAAGAGAAAGTCACAAGAGGCTGACTAGAGAGGGAGCGCATATTCTGGAGTTGGCTTTTATTGGGGGATGCCGTGTCTTAGAACATTCTATCTGAAAAAGGGCAAGGGTAGGATTACAAAGGAACAGGTGAGTGTAACTCAACCCCACCCTGTAACGCCTACTCCTGGAGCAATTTCTCATTATCCCAGCGGAAGTAAAGTCCAAGTTATTGCGGAGTGCAATAATTCTTCAGATTCTCTTGCTCAGGACTTAAGGGCGTGTATTTCCAGAGCAGCTCCCTACACTTTCCCTACCTGTGTTTTTCTTCTTTCACAAGACAAAAGCGACCACAGCTCCAGTGGCAACAGCTCCAAGGAGGACCACATCAGCAACAATTCCCATGATAGGGATGGTGGCCTGAGAGGGTGGCTCTGGGAGGAGAAGGGAAGTCAGGTGAGGGGCCCTGATCCCCAGCTGTCAGTCCCTACCCTGCAGAGGGTCTCCAGAAAGCCTCCTGCTTTCCTGACAACAGGTTCTGGGCCCTCACCCCCTCCTTACCCCATCTCAGGGTGAGGGGCTCAGGCATCCCCTCATGATGCACATGGCATGTGTATCTCTGCTCCTCTCCAGCAGGCACCTCCACAGCTGCCCATTTCTGGAAGTTTCCATCCCCTGCAGGCCTGGTCTCCACAAGCTCTATGTCCTGGGTCTGGTCCTCTCCATCTCGTTTCCAGTTCAGGGTGATCTCTTCAGGGTAAAAGCCCAGCACCCAGCACCTCAGAGTGATGTCCCCATCAGGGCTAGGATGGTGAGTCACATGCATCTTCGAGGGGTCTGAAGCAACACTCACACGACCATCCTGAGAGTGGACGACATGATTGGGGTGGATAGGAAGCACAAAACCTGGACACAAGCCTGGACTGAGGCTTCTGACATTACGCATTCCTTGGAGATTTCTAGAATCAAATTGAGACAACCCAATGGAAGAGGCTTCAGGACCCTGAGAGGGACTTCAGATTCTGGTCTTGGTAGAGGCTGAGACATGTGGAAAACCTGGAGTCAGACCTCCAAAAACACTAGGCTGGAGTGGACCTGACAGTCTGTCCCTGAACAGATAACTGTTGTCCGGTATTTATTGTCTTTCCCACTAGCCAGGGAGAGAGAGACAGGATCCCTCACTTGTCCTGAGAGAAAGCGTCTCTAGTGCAGCACCTGGGGGTCCAGGCCCACTCACTCCCCGCTGGACAAGGAGCAGGAGGTGTCTAGTGTGGAGTCATTCTCCTCCCCTCCTTGTGGGAAGCTGGAGAGACCTACAGGAGATCAGGCAGGTGTCCTGCAGCCCCTCATACCTGTGCGCAGCAGCGTGTCCTTCCTGATCTCCGGTTGTCTGGTGAGCCACTCCACACAGGTGCCCTCCAGACAAGCCCTGTGTTGCTCGCACCACCGGCCGCCTCCTTCTTCCTCTTGGTGTCCGCCAGGAGCGCAGGTCCTCCTTCAGGGCGACGTAATCCGCGCCATCGTAGGCGTCCTGAATGTACCCACGGAGGAGGCGCTCGTCTGTCCCGACGTCGCAGCCATACATCTTCTGGTAGGTGTGAGAGCCTGTCCCCGCCCCACCCACCCCGCGGGTTCTTCTCCTAAACTGAAATCACAGTCCCCGTGGGCGCTTTCTGGGTCAAGGGTCCCCGCAGGTCCCTCAGCCTTGAGGTGAAGCTCGGCCTGGGATCCCTGACGACTCGGGACCGTTCATGAGGGACGTGAAGGGTCGCAACCTCTGTCAGGGCCGGGGCACTCACCGCCCGCGCTCTGGTTGTAGTAGCCCCGCAGGGTGTTCAAGTCCACTCCGTACTACTGTGCGTTGCCCTTGGCAATCCAAGTCTCCAGTTCCCCAAACTCTCGCCCCTCCTGCTCTATCCAGGGTGCCCGAGGCTCCTCCCTGGGACTTTCTGCGTCGCTGTCGCTGTCGAAGCGCACAAACTACAAGAAATCCACGTAGTCCACGGAGATGAAGCGGAGCTCCTGGATGACAACCTGGAACAGAAAAGAGTCATCAAAAAAAAAAAAAGCTAATTAAATCCAAAAAGAACATGCTGCTGAGTACTAATTTATCAATATTGCTTTAATAGTGTGACGTATGCCTAATTATAATGCAAGATTTTAACAATAGGTAAAACAGTGTGCCATCTACAGGAACTCTGTGTTACCTTTTCTAAATCTGAAGATATTATTTTAAAGAATAATGTATGTTTTGATTTATTTTGATTTATTTTGATGATACAGGGTATTGCACCCAGGGGCATGCTACCATTAATATACATTCCCAATCCTTTTCCTTTTATTTTGATACAGTGCCTTGCTAACTTCCTAGGCTGACCTTTAACTTGGAATCCTTCCATTTCAATCTCTGGAATAGCTTTGATTACAGATGTCAAACACCAGGCCTTGCTAACATCTATGTTTAAAAAGGAATAATTGGGGGCCAGGGTTGTATCTCAGTGATAGGGCACTTGCCTAGCATGTGTGAGGTACTGGGTTTAGTCCTCAGCACCACATAAAAATAAATAAACAAAAGGTATTGTGTCCATGTACCACGAAAAAAAAAATTAAAAAAGGAATAATTGGGCTGGGCGTGGTGGTAGCACAAACTTGGAATCCCAGTGCTTTGGGAGGCCAAGGCAGGAGGATTATGAGTTCAAAGCCAGCCTCAGCAATGGCAAGGCACTAAGCAACTCAGTGAAACCCAGTCTCTAAATAAAATACAAAATAGGGCTGGGTATGTGGCTCAGTGTTCAAGTGTCCCTGAATTCAATCCTCAGTATCAAAAAAAAAAAAAAAAAAAAGAAAGAAAAAAAAACAAGGAATAGTTGGGAAAGAAACAGTTTGTAGGAAGAAAAAAATATGTGTTTGTGTTTACATAAAGTATGAAACATATTTTCATTAGCTTTTATGAAAAAAATATATATATACATGTGTGTGTATGTGTATGTATGTGTGTGTGTATATATAATATATATATATATATATACATATATATGTGTGAGTGTGTGTGTGTGTGTGTGTGTGTATATATAAATCTTCTTTCAGTTCTCCAGGTTTATTATCCAGAAAATGGAGAAAGATCTAAGAAGTCGGCAGGATTCCTTGTAGGAGCGTCCTACAACTCTTGTGCCCTTAAAGACAACTCAGAAGTATCTTCATCCCCACATCAATGCACCCTCTCTAAGTCAGCCATCTCTGCCCTAGTCCTTCCATTGCCTGGTCCTCTCCAGAGCTGCCTGGCAGCTTCCCAGGGCAGTGCAGTGGCGCTCCCGTGTGGCCATGTTTCTGAACACAGAAGACCTGAGCTCCCATGTCCTGGGCTCACCTGGGAGTCCTGGGTCTCCCTAGACTTACAGCAACTGTGCAGGGCTGTGTGCACAAATTGGAGCCTTCATCCTTTTGTCAGATTCGGGATGTCCAACTGTTACTCAAAAAACAAGATGAAATATGTTTCCTCCCAGTGGATCAATAGTGGACTCTTGTCCCAGGGAGCATCTAGATCTCCATACCACAAAGGCAAGTTCCTAGGTCGTGGATGAACCCTGCAAACATAATGCCTGCCCTCAATTTGCTGGATGGAGCCTTGTACCCCTGAATCCCTGAGATTTGTTCTTGCTGCTGCTCCCAGGATCAAAGGGCCCCTTTACTGGGCCAGATTTTCTAATCCTAGAGGTAGGTGGTAATTAGTAATGAGCAGTGGAATATCAATGAATAAGGTAACAGGGTCATGTGGTTTTCTTTAAATTGCATTTAATACTAATGAACAGCCAGCATGGTGCTACACGCCTGTAATCCCAGCAACTTGGGGAGACAGGGACAGGAGGATAGCAAGTTCAAAGCCAGCTTCACCAACTTAGACCTTGTCTCAAAATAAAACATGAAAAATGGGCTGGGGATGTGACCCAATGGTTAAGTGCCCCTTGGTTTAATTCCTGGCAACAAAAACAAAAACAAAAACCTTATAAATAAAGGAGTAACTCATGGTGGGGGTGTGGAAACAGGTGTACTAACCCTGAGAATAAACAGAGGTTTAAAAAGGGAGCCAATGAAGAAATAAGTCCAGAAGGAATGATCTAGGGGGATAACTCTTCATAGGGTCTAGTGAGATCATTATAAAGCTAGGATTTACAGCCATAGGTTTCTTAATGTGTATCAGAAGGAACGTTAGTAGCACTGGTACACTAAGGTAAAGTTTGCCTGGTCATGGAACCCAGCTCCTATATTAACACAGCATTGACTTGTGGATAAAGCTCCCCTGAATGGAATGGTTACTGTGACAATAACGGAAAGGACCAACTAGAGTCAAAAACTACCCTGAGCAATATGAAGGAGTGGTTAAGTATCAAATTAGTGAAGATTGCAAAAGGTAGACCCCCGTTTCTACTGGCAAATATCAAACAATAAATTTGGAAGTGGTATCAAGTTTCTTTTGTCATTCTCTGCTGGGGGAATGACATACTCTCTTCCTCTTTTGAGCATTCTTTGCTTGATCCTTACCTTCACTTATTATAAAATTCTCTTGCTTGGCTTTTCATGTGTGACTCTAAATTTTCTTTCATGGGGACACAAGAACGTAGGCTTGGTGCTTCAGCTCCCCATTTACCTGTGACACATTTACCTGTGCCACTAAAGGGTGATGAAGGAGTCTCCTGAAGATGTGAAAATCAGAAGGAAAGTGGGACATTAAGGAAATGGAGGCTGAAAAGGGAGGAGAAGGAATCAAACAAAAAAAAAAGAAGCCATGGGAAGGATCAGCCTAGAGAATACCTGTGAGGAGAATGGGTCTGTTTGGGGAGAAGTTCAGGGTCTTCTGGTTGGGGTGCTGGAGAAGGCCTCCATTTTCACTAGGATGGTAGTGACACAGGTATTAGCTGTCATTCATCAGTAGGCCATCGTATGTTTTGGACAGTTTTCTGTGTTACATGTGTAGTATATTTTAAATATACAGAGAAGAAATGTGAAAAGTATCAGATGAAAGAAGAGAATTGACTAAGGGGACACTCACTAATGCTGGGGTGGCAGGCAGAACAGAAGAAAGTATGAAAGATTTGTTTTACTGGACATTTCAGTGGAATGAATGTAGTATGTAATCTATTTGGCTTTTTTCACTTAGCATAATATGTATGTGCACATGCGCCTGCACAGTGCTGGGGAGTGAATCCAGATTCTCACACAATGCTAGGCAAGCACTCTACCACTGAGCCACATCCAGCCCTACTATAATGTTTTGAAGTTAACACATTTAATTATCTATTTATTTATTCTAATATGTTATACATGACAGCATAATGCATTTCAATTCATAGTACTCACATAGAGCACAATTATTCATGTTTCTGTTTCTACACAAAGTAGATTCACACCATTTGTGTCTTCATACATGTACTTAGGATAATGAATTCCATCTCATTCCACCATCTTTCCTACCCCCATGGCCCTTCCTTTTCCCTCCCTCCCCTTTGCCCTAACTAAAGTTCATCCATTGTCCCATGCTTCCTCCCCTACCCCCCCCCCATTATGGACCAGGATCTACGTATCAGAGAAAACATTCAGCCTTTGGTTTTGGGGGATTGCATTTACCTGCAAATGTCATGATTTTATTCTGTTTTAATGCTGAGTAATATTCCATTCTGCATATATGCCACATTTTTTAATCCATTCATCTATTGAAGGCATCTAGGTTGGTTCCACAATTTAGCTATTGTGTCACTGCATTATGCTGTTTTTAAGTTCTTTGAGTATAAACCAAGGAGTGGGATGGCTGAGTCAAATGGTGGTTCCATTCTAAGTTTTCCAAAAAATCACCATACTACTTTACAGATTGGTTGCACCAATTTGCAGTCCCACCAGCAATGTATGAGTGTATCTTTTCCCCCACATCTTCACCAACACTAATTGTTGTTTGTATTCTTAATAGCTTCCATTCTGACTGGAGTGAGATGAAATCTTAGAGTAGTTTTGATTTACATTTCTCTAATTGCTAGAGATGTTGAACGTTTTTTCGTATGTTTGTTGATTGATTATATATCATCTTCTGAGAAGGGTCAGATCATTTTCTTGGCCCATTTATTGATTGGGTTATGTGTGTGTGTGTGTGTGTGTGTGTGTGTGTGTGTGTGAGTGAGTGTTAAGATTTTGGAGTTCTTTATATGTCCTAGAGATTAGTGCTCTATTTGATGTGCATATGGTAAAAATTTGCTCCAATTTTGTAGGCTCTCTATTTTCCTCACTGATGTTTCTTTTGCTGAGAAGTTTTTAGTTTGAATCCATCTCTTTTATTGATTGTTGATTTTATTTCTTGCACTATATGAGTCTTGTTAAGGAAGTCAGGGCCTAATCAGACATGATGAAGATTTGGGCCTACTTTTTCTTCTATAGACACATGGTCTCTGGTCTAATTCCTGGGTCCTTGATCCACTTTGAGTTTTGTGCATGGTGAGAGATAGGGGCTTAATTTCATTTTATTGCATCTGAATTTCCAGTTTTCTCAGCACGATTTGTTGAAGAGGCTATCTTTTCTCTAATATAAGTTTTTGGAGCCTTTGTCTAATATGAAATAATTGTATTTATATAGGTTTGTCTCTGTGTCCTCTATTCTGTACCATTGGACTACCAGTCTATTTTGGTGCCAATACCATGTTGGTTCGGTTGCAATTGTTCTGTAGTAAAAGTTTAAGATCTGGTATAGTGATGCCATCTGCTTCATTCTTCTTGCTAAAGATTGCTTTGGCTATTCTGGGTATCTTAATTTTTCCAGATGAATTTCATGATCACTTTTTCTATTTCTATGAGAAATGCCATTGGGATTTTGATTGGAATTGCATTAAATCTGTATAGTGCTTTTGGTAGTATGGTTTCTTTTCCTTTCCATATTTTTGACAATATTAATTCTGCCTATCCATGAACAAGGGAGATCTTCACATCTTCTAAGGTCTTTCTTTAGTGTTCTGTAATTTTCATTGTAGAGGTCTTTCACCTCAAGTTGATTACTAAGTATTTGAATTTTTTTAGGCCATGGGGTAATTTTCCTAGTTTCTCTTTCAGAGGATTTGTCACTGATGTACAAAAATGCCTTTGATTCATGGGTGTTGATTTTATATACTGATACTTTGTTGAATTCATTTGCTAGTTCCAGACATTATCTGGTAGAACTTTTTGGATCCCCTAGGTATAGATTCATGTCATCACCAAGCAGTAATAATTTGAGTTCTTTTCCTATGCATAGTCCTTTAATTTCTTTCATCTGTCTAACTGCTCTGGCTAGTGTTTCAAGGACTATATAGAAGTGGTGAAAGAAAGCATCCTGGCTTGTTCCAGTTTTTAGATAGAATGCTTTCAATTTTTCTCCATTTAAATGATGTTGGCCTTGGGCTTATATTATAGATTATAAAAGTTTTATTATTCATTAAACATTATAAATTTTCTCCTAAATATTGTATTTGCAGCATTCTTCATGCCTTGATTATATTTTATTGTTAAAAAACTTTAATTTCCCTTCTTCTTCAACGCATGGATTTTTAAGTACCTTGATTAATTTCCTGATGTTTGGAATTTTACAGATATTCTAATGTTATTAATTTCTAATCCAATGTCAATACATTCAATGAGTTCAATCCTTTTCAACTTATTGAGGCTTGTCTTAGGGCTATGAGATGGCTGGTCTTGGTGAATGTTCCATCTACACTTGGGAAAAATGTTTATTTAGTTCCTATTGGATTTGGTATTCAACAAATATTAGTTGGATCAAATTGGTTCACAATGAGGGTAAGTGTTCTACATCTTTGTTTGCATATATTCTATTAATGGGAGACAAGTATTGAAAATCAAATATTGTGATTTTTAGTGTCAGTTTCCTTTTCTAATCTACTAATTTATACTTTATCTACTTTGGAGTTATATAATTAGTTATTTCTATATTTATTACCTATGCCTTTTGTGATACTTATTATCATTGTAGAATGTTCTTTTTTGTCCCTAACAATACTTCTTGTTTTGAAGTCAATTTTCCTTCACAGTAATACATTTAGTTTTTTATGCTTTCTACTTGAATGACCTTTTTATTCATCTTCCAACTTTCAAGTTGAAGTTTCATTTTGCATTTCTATTATCTATATCATGTGATTTATCCTGATTTTTATCATAGCGGTAACTTCAGTCTTTTTGTTGAAATTTAAGTCCATTTGAATTTAATCTGATTACTTATATACTTTTATTTTAGCTTACTATTTTACTATTTAGTTTTAAAGTATCTCATCTTTTCTTCATTCTTGCTCCTCCCTTCCTAATTTCCTTTGTTTCAAATAATTTTTATTTTTAGTTATTCCTCTCCTGGATTTTTTCACATATTTTCTTGCATTCATTTCTTATTTGGGTTGTAATAATTAAAACCTGCATCTTTAACTTTCCACAAATCTTAGGTGGTAACATTGATCTACAACCAGCAAAATATAGGAAACTGTGTCCTGAAGGACTTTGCTTCAAATTACCTGTAATGCAGGACTTCTCACTGAATTTTTTCTAAATATGCATTCATTTTGCCTTCTTCCCCCTTTTATTTATTCACATAAATTTGCTAATTTTAGGCATAAAGTTAAATATTGGTAATCATTTAGTATCACAGCTATCACAAGCCAGATGTGCTCTTACCTGTTTGTATTTTATTTTCTCCTCTATTCCTAGCCCTATTCCTTTCTGTAATTTTGAATATTCTAGAATATCATATAAGAGCAATTCCATAGTATGCAGTCTTGTATAGCATAATGATTTTAAAGTTCATCCAATGTGTTACACGTATTAATATTTTGTTCATTTTTGTTGCTGAGTATTGATGAAATTCGAATTTACACATTGGTTTACCTATTGAGAAGTTGATAAACATGGATTATTTCCAGCTTGGGTAAATTATAAATAAAGTCACTATGAACATTTAAGTATAAGTCTGTCTATATAGACATGTTTTCTCACCCTTTGGACAAATGCCCAAATGTGGATTATTAGGTTATTAGGTAAATATTTATGTCAGGAATTGAGATAATGTTTTACTGTTAACTGACTTGTGACATTTTTTCATTTCCAGCAGCAGCACATGACATTTCCAATGACTCCACGTCCTGTTAAGATGTGCTATTATCTCAGGTGTTTTTAATGTTCTCCATTCTAGTTGCTGCGTGGTGGTAAGTCATTGTGGTTTTAATTTGCATTTCTTTGATGATTACTGCTTGGTGAGCACCTTTCAGTGACTGGCTTATCTTATCAGTGACTGGCATATCTTCTTTAGTGAACTGTTATAATAATTAAAACCTGCATCTTTAACATTCCACAAATCTTAGGTGGTAACAATGCTTTTATAAAGCATTGTCTGTTTCATTATTTAGTTATAAGCATTCTTTATATATTCTGGGCACATATATATATATATATATAAATTTTTTCTTTCTATGGTTTGCATATTTTTCCATACCCATGTCTTAGTCTGTTTATGCAGCATTAAAAAAATAGACCAGGTAATTTATTTTTTTAAAAAATTTTTTATTTATTACAGTTCTGGAGGTTGGAAAGTACAAGATCAAAATGCCAGCACTGGTGTCTATTTTTTGCTGCTCTCAGCTCCCACTGTCTGTTTCCATCTGTATTTCCCTATTGTCTTGCTAAATTCTGACCCTGTTCATTTCTACTTATGCATATTTTGTTTCACATTTATCTCTAACCAAAATCATTGGAACATATTTTGCATCTCATAAAATCTGTTCCCTTGGGTCCTGCAAATTAAACATGAACTGAGATGTAATAGAATATGCTAGTTAGAATTTGTGGCTATATGTTATATGAAAACCTCTGGTTGTAAATTGCTTTGTCCCTGCTATATCAAGAGTTTGACCATACAGTGTTGACAATCCACTTCTATTTGATTATATTGATGAATGTAGACATAGCATACAGTAATTTTTTATTTTTAAACAAAGCATTCTTATACAACTGAATTATCAGAGCTAATTTCTACATCCTGGTAGTAATGGCTTTATTAGAAGAGGAAGAAACACCCAAATGGTTGTTCTATCACTGGAACCATGCTCTTAGAATTCCAAGCCTCCAGAATCATAAGCCAAATAAACTTCTATTCTTTATAAATCACCTAGTCTTCGTATTTTGTTACAGCAACAGGAAACAGACTAAGACACTCGCCATTTCTTGAAAGATGAAAAGTAGATTATACTCATATGTGTTGTGATCATCCCAAGATCCTCTCAATTTCTGATGACTCCAACCTCCTCCTTCCTGTCACTGCAACTCCCTTCACTGACTAGTACTCAAGCAATTGTGGAAGAACAGTAGCAACTCCAGAATTTATAAATGAGTGGACAAAGGTATCCCTCCCTCTTTGCACTCTACTTTCCCAATATGTTTAATTGGTTTCTCTTCTGCTAAAATTATCCAGATTTGTTTTCTGCTTTAAACTATGACTATTAATTTATCTTTAAGCTAAATACTTATTTCTACCATCTCAAAACCCAGCTGACATAAGACATAACTCCAAGGCAGTTATTTCCAAAAACTCAGGTATATTGAACTTCACATAATTCTCTCTCCCTTCTTATTATAAAATTTGAAAAAGACACTGTAAATAAATTAACAAATTTCCACTAATACATAATACACCTCACAATGTTTAATCATGAAATGCCTGATCAAGTATGATTTGCATCAAAATATTTACTGTTTTCCCAGCTGCTTAGGAAACTAGCATAAACAATAATGAGACAGGAAAGGCTCTTGAGAAATCCATATGGATGTTGTAATTAATTAGCATTAATAGTAAAGGTTGCAATTCCATGACCCAGGCATTTGTCCCATACATTTGTCTCGGTGGCAGACAAAGACAAGGACAAAATCAAAGACAATGGAAGAAATGATTAATAATAGCATACACTTTAATAAATACTTTAAAGCAATTATAATCTTTGCACTGCAGATCAAGTATTATCAGTTCCATTTTAGAAACAAAGTAGAGAGGGCAGAACACTCCTGAGGCTACCATACTGTTTCAGTCACCTAAGGGATTCAGAAATCCAGCAGGTCTAGCCAAAGTAGAAAATTGGGAATGATGTAGAGGAAAAAGAGATAAATGAAAAAACCAAGGACTGTGCCCAAGAGATTTTCTCTCAGGGTCTCAGTGTAAGTCTAGATCTCATGCAATTAAGCCACAAAAAAGGAAAAATTCTCCCAGTAAAGGAAGATGAGAATTCATAGATAAACTCTTGGGTTCTAGCATTTGTAAAGGTGACCTTCCCTCCATCATAATCCAAGGCAATGCCAATCTGCCTTGGACAGTAGGACAGTATCTGGAAAGGTTCAGAGTTTGTACATATAGAGACCCCTGCTGAAGATAGCTGTAGAGTCCAGAATCCCTCCTCAGGGGTGAAGGCCAGGAACCCTCTTCTCACCACTGACTCTCTTGCCACCCCCAACAAGCAGAATTTTGGCCATATTCCATTTTCCTGAGACCATTCTTCCTCCAACTCTTCGCTCTCATTTCTGTATCCAGGAGAACTATATCCATCAGTGATTCCTATGAACCCACCAAGATAGCTACTGCCAAACACATCTCTGGCTCCACCTCTGTATTTCATTGCTTCTTCTTCCTCCTCTGCTCCCCACCAGATCCTATCCACTTTCACTTCCCAGTACACTTTGCCCCAGGTGAAGCCCTTACTGCCCAGCACACCAGGCTCAGGATCGAATCGCTGACCATGTTGGTATTTGTTCATCCACAAACCAGTGAATATCATACTTTTCCCATTTGGAGACACTGAGAGGTAGCCATTGGCTGTCTGAGAATTCAGGACGATCCTCACTGTGGGAACAAGGGGAGACAGGTGTGGCATCCTAAAAGATACTGAAGGAGATCTTTCCCATGGGTTCAGGAGCCCTTCTGACATGGCCTCCTTTGGGGATCAGGGCCTCAGACCTTGTGCTCATACTTCCACTAGCTCCTCTATCTAGAAAGTGCAGGGAATGTGGGGAGAAAATTCAAGGGCACAGGCAGTGTGATAAAACCTCAGAAAAAGAGAGACTGTGATCATTATAGCTGGGGAAATCTTTCTTTAAATGTTTGTGAGTTTGAAATTTGGCAAGTCAGGTAAATAATTAAGGTAGATTAGCCACCATGAAGACCTATTTAAAGAGATGGGCCACAAGGAAAACAGTTTCACAGGGAAACTGCAATTTGAGTTTGGAAAGTTCACTTTGAAGAAAAAAATCAGAAAATAATCCCTTCCAACTACTTACTTGTTTTATATTCCAGATCCCTCAACAATTTTCCTGGAAGGAACAAAAAGATAGTAAGAGATTCTGACACCACCTCTTTCTAAGTCAAATTCTGTTATTGTTGGTTAATACCACTTTAAAACATGAAAAGGAACCATGAAAACTCAAGTGAAATAGAGAAACCTTACCCAGAGTTGTACCTTCAAAAGTGGCTCATTCAAGTACCCATCCCAACATCTGCCTAAAGTACTTGGTGCTTCATTAAAGAGCACTTGGACCATATTCTCTATTGTTTAATGAGGTCCTCAACTGTGATACCTGAATCATTTTTTCTCTACTCTCAAATATAATTCTGAGATTCATTCTCCCAATATGTTTCTTTTAAATTTTTTATTAGTTTATTTTAATTATATGTAACATTAGGGTTCATTTTGGCATAATTACACAAGCATGGAATATAACTTGCTCTTGTTCAATCCCTAGGACTTCTCCTTTCCCTTCCCACCTCTTCCTGTTCCCTTCCCTCTAGTCTTCTACTGATCTTTCTTCTACTTACTTAGTTCTTTTTCTTTCTTTCTTTCTTTTTTTAATGGTGCCTTGTGGATATATATGAAGGCCAATCTGTTTTTAAATTTTTTAAATTTCTAATTAAGGTAAAAGACACATGACATAAAATGTATCATCTTTACCATTTGTAAATTTTATGTTTCGGTAGTGTTAAGTATATTTACATTATCATGCAATCACTTTCTAGAACTTTTCCCATCTTGCAAAACTGACACTCTATAGCTATTAAATAACAACTTTTCATTTTCCTCTCCTCTGCATCTCCTGGCAATGACCATTTCACTTTCTGTTTCTATGAATTTGACTATGTTAGATATCTCATATAAGTGGAATTATATAGTATTTGTCCTTTATGTGACAGATTGCTCCACTTAACAAAATGGCCTCAAGTTTCATCCACATGTCTGAATTTCTTTCTGTTTGGCTTAATAATATTCCAAGGTGTGTGTGTGTGTGTGTGTGTGTGTGTGTGTGTGTGTGTATACATACATACATACATACATACACACACACAGTTTTCTTATCCACCAATGGACCCTTGGGTTACTCCATTTCTTTGCTATTATAAATATGCACATAGATATGCAAATATCTATTTGTGATCCTGCTTTCAGTTCTTCTGGATATTTATCAAAACATGCAATGAATGGAGCATACAGAATTTTTTTTCTTTTTGGAAAAACAATCATACCATTTTCCTTGGCCTTCCAATGTTTTTCACGTTTTAGATAGTATTTTTGAATAACTCCAAGACCTATTAACTATCATTCTACCTTAGTCTAGGTATCATTTTTCAACTGTCATGGGAAAGACGTCTTGGTTTGAACTTAAATTCCCTCTCCAATATCCCTGCCTGGTATAAGTGACCTATACAAGAATAAGGAATGCTAAAAAGCTAAGGCCAAGTGGGGTGCAGTGGCGCATGCCTGTAATCCCAGTGACTTGGGAGGCTAAGGCATGAGGATTTTGAGTTCAAAGACAGCCTCAGCAGTTTAGCAAGGCACTTACCAACTCAATGAAACCCTATTTCTAAGTAAAATACAAAAAAGGGCTTAGGATGTGGCTCAGTGATTAAGCACCCCTGGGTTCAATCCTCAGTATCAAATAAATAAATAAATAGCTAAGGCCAGAATCAAAACCCAAGAAAACACTAAGAAAAAGTTTTCTAGGCTCAGAGCCCCTTTCTTCATCCATTCCATTACCATGGAATCCTCTCAGGCCTTTCTCTAAAGAAAGAATTTTATCAGAAAATTCTTCCGCTCGCTTTTTGATTGCAGGACTGATGGGCTTTTCAATCCAGAACTTCTTCCGGGGATACCTAGAGAAAGTAGAATCATGGTGGAAACCACTGGAAGAAAGACATGTATGGCCACTGTCACCACATACAAGGCACACTAGTGACAGCACAATTAGTGAATGCTCCAAGGAGTCAATTCCAACATGAGAGTCAATTTACAGAGTTCTGAAGAAGGGCCACAACCCAAATGTTCTCTACCCATCAATATATCATTTATGTGTGATGTTAAGAAAAGAGAGCCATTTTCTACATTGGAGCTGTTTGAAACATGCTATTAATGTTACAACTTCTAAAGAAATTACTTGAGGATATATACCAGATAAAGAAAATTAAAGTACCGATTTTAATTTCAGAAAATTTTAAAGCTTTTAATTGAAAACTAAGATAAATTGGCTGGACATGTAGCTCAGTGGTTGAGTGTCTGCATCTCATGCACAAGGCCCTGAGTTAGATCCTCAGGACCACCAAAACAAAAACAAAAAACCAAAACCCCTAAATCATTAAAATTAAGATAAAGCTGGAAAGAGATACTTAAGTTAACTATAAATTGAAAGAAATCTGAGGTTTTGATCTTACTATTATATAGGGTTGAATTCAAGGCAGAAAAAATATTAAACAAGACAACAAAAGGTAGTTTACATTATCTAAGGATTATAATCCACAATTAAGATATAACTCTTCTTAAAGACCATACAGAAAAAAAATAGCAAAATATAAAATGAAGTGGGGTATGATGATGCACATCCAATCTCAATTACTCAAGAGGCTAAGGCAAGAGGTGAAAATTTTGAGGCCAGCATGGGCAACTTAGTCATACTTTCTTAAAATTTAAAAAAATAAAAAGTAATTCAGTGGTAGTTACAAGCGTCCTCTGGTGTCAGTTCCCAGTACTGCAAATTTAAAAAAGAAGAAAGAAAAGAAGCAAAACCAAAATTTACATTGCACATAAAAAAATCCAAAAAGTGGGAAAGTCTATTAATAGCAAATAACTTATTTCAAGGCAAGAAGTATTACCCATTTTTGTCACCCTAGTTGCTTACATAATTACTTGTCTTTAATATGTTTAGTTTCCCCTGACAGGATCTGGTAACCTATCTCATTACCCTCCTTTCTAACCAATGTCTGGTCCACAGTATATGCTCAGTATATGTGAATAGTCCATTATGTCTCTGGAGATGAGCTGCGCATTAGCAAAATGCCTGACTCTGAATCTCTGCCTAAATCTTCTGTGTAAGTTTTGTTGTTGTTCTTGGCAGGGGATTGAACTCGGAGCCTCAAACTTACTAGGCAAACACTCTACCACCAAGCTACATCCCCAGCCTAGAGGTTAAGTTTTTAACAGACATTTCCTCAGACTCAATGCCAGAGAGTCATCATCCTGTGACACATAGAAGTGTCTTCTTTCTACACTCAGAGCAAAGGAAGCCATCACAACCAAGCAAGGAGGATGATCTGATGGTGAAATGTGTTCTACAGAGTATGGAGGAAACTACAGCCAGAAGTTGCAGCTAAGAACTAGGGAGGAATTGAAAGGAAAAACAGAAACTGAGTTTTAGAAATGGACATAGATTCTAAATATTCTGTAATTCTCTTCTACAACCGCCTCCCATTTCATTTCTACCTCAGCCCACTCCCATCTTAACATGTTCTATGACATTAATTTTTCTATAACTGCCTCTCCAATTCCATGCAATGCATTTCAACTATGCTACCTGAAGAACTTTTCTCTAAGAAGTCCTCTTCTAGACCTTGTGAAATTTTAATAAATTAAAAGTAGAGAAGAGAAAACAAAGTGCTTTTTAAATAAGAAGCACTTACCTGTTTATTATGTCACTGGGGTCCTGGAAAAGAAGAGAACACAAACACTATCATGGAAAGAATGTCCTCAGGAGCCATCAGCAGTCCCTGTGGGACCCCTGGGGAGCAGGTTCACAACAGGACCATACAGGGAGTTAATGTGATGGGCTTGAAATTGCTCTACTCTCCACTACAGAAGCAGTTTACAGGGATACATACTTCTCCCTCCTTTCCTCCCTTTTCAGTTCTACTTTCTTCCCACCAGGAAAACTTCCTCAATTAATAGATAATAGTCTATTAAGACTCTGTTATCTTCAGGTTAAGACTGAAATCTCAGCCTGTCTTGGTAGACCTCTGTTCAGTTGGCCCCATCTTACCCACCTCTTCTTCCCTTCAATTTCTTTCTCACTTAAACTGACTCCTCTAGAAAAGTAGCTCCCTCACTCTGCCCGCTTCCTATCTTTTTATCTATCTCCCTCTTCCTACCTTCCTCAGCACCTGCACCCACCTCCCACACAAGTTTATTATCACATTCATTTCTCTATGGCCAACCACTGCACCCACATCCCTTGCCAAGGGAGAGAGGACAGTACAGTTTCCTGCAATTTAGAGCTTATAATCCACTGGCTGGCTGATTAACTTGTTAAAGAACTCAATAAATCAGAATAAACCCTGTCTCTCCTCACTTCCTCCTCCAAGTCTCTTACTAATGGAGAGGCAACACCATAGTTTGGGGCAAAATGATTTAGATACAATTTAGGTGGTCCCTCACCTGCAAAAGTTCCAGTGCTGGCTGCCGAACCTTCTTCTCTAATTCAGAAATCAGAGTCCCAAGCCGGACCACCTCCTCTGAGCCTTTAGTTATATGGCTGCTCCTCCCTTCTGTGAGCTCTTGCTCCATCCCCATCAGCAAGTCCAACAGGAACTGTTCCCTTTCTCTCAAGAACTGATGGCCCTGTTCAAACACTGTTACAATATCTTGCCTGTGGCCCTGGAATTTTGTCTACAGTAAATGTAGAAAGAGAATGATTTCTTCTGGGAGGTCAGAAAACACTAGAACATGTGTAAGATCTTTAGGGATGAGTTCAGAACAGGAATCCCTTCAAACACTTCCCCGCTTCTTAATCCCCTCCAAAATCACACACACCCCTCTCCCACAGAACATTCTCCTTCTGTGTACACAGAACATTCCCTGGAGATTTCTCTTACGAGCAGGGCCTGAATCTCATCTTCTCCTGTAGACTGAAAATTCTGAATTCTATCCCTGTCTCCCTTCAGAATCTTCAGATGATTTAGAATTTTACCCTATGGAAATAAACATGAATAATCTCAAGATTAAGATGAAAATAACATATTGCAAGGCCCTGGGTTCAATCCCCAGTACCACCAAAAAAAAAAAAAAAAAAGAAAGAAAGAAGAAAATGACCTAAAAATAAAAGGGAGATGAAAAGTGATTCCATAGTAAAATCAGATAGCATTTGACCTTATATACTACAATCAAAAGCAATTTCTTAAAAGTAAAATAAAAGAATAATCTATTATTACAACTATTAAAACTTATGGTACAGTTTTTATTCATATTTTCAGGGTTCTTTTCCACCAAAAAATGCAAAAAATTTAAATAAAAATCCATTAATAATATGAAAATAGAAGAAAATCAATATAAAAAGTAAAGGAAAGTATACATGCTATTTTAGCCCATTTTCTATCACTATAACAAACTATCAAAGGCTGTGTTACTTTATAAAGAAAAGAGTTTCATTATCTCACAATTCTGATGATTCACGGGCAAAGCATTGGCATCATCCCAGCTCTGATAAAGACCTCATGGTGATGGCATCACAATGGCAGCAGCACATGTGAGAGATCAAATCTCCACACAGAAAGCCAGAATTCAGAAAGAGGCTAGTTTAACAAGTTTAGCAAAATTAGGATCTATATCTTAAAAGTCCACCACCTCCCAATATTGCTACACTTGAGGACCAAGCTCCGAACACAAGAACCTTGGGGGACAAACTATATCATATCCTAACACCAAATTATATAAAGAATGATTTAATTAGTTTTAAGTTTCCTGTGAGCCAGGGAGAAAAGGAAAACAATGAGTTTCATCATTTTTCTTTAATAGACAAGAGAAAATAGTCTGTCAGAGAAAATGATATTTTCCCTGAAATTAAATTCTGAATGAAAACTTATACTGAAGATTTACACTAGAAACACTATCTTCAAAAATATTTTTAAGATGATTACATGCTGAAGAACACACAATGTGAAGCTATATACTTAAGAGGGCTGATAATCTATATTGCTGATTGAGACCTGATACAAATGCCTCAAAAACCAACACATGCAGGTATTGGGATAGACTTATTAGCATAAAAGCTGTGGAAACTGGCAAGTGTGAATATGTCCCCCAAAGCTCATGTGTTGGAAACTTAACCCTGAAGGAGTGTGAAGAGATGGTACTTTTAAGAGGAAATTAGTCTTGAGGGCTCTGCTCTTGTGAATGGATTAATGCCATTTTTTACAGGAGTAGGTTTGCTGTCACTGGAATAAGTTCCTTATAAAAGGGTGAGTTTGGTCTTGCCCACCCTTTTTCCCCCTTGTGATGCTGATGCCTTTATTTTGTTTAATGCAGCAAGAAGACCCATACTAGACGCTGGTACCTTGATCTTGGCCTCCAGCTTCCAAAACCAATAGCCAATAAACTTCTGCTCATTATAAATTGCCTAGTTCATAGTATTTTGTTACAGCAGCACAAAGCAGACCAAGACAGAAACAATCAGTTTTATTATCCAAATTCAAGAATTGAGTCACCACCAGGTATGGTGGTGCACACCTGTAATCACAGTGGCTCAGGAGGCTGAGGCAGGAGGATCACAAGTTCAAAGCCAGCCTCAGCAACTTAGTGAGGCCCTAAGTAACTTAACAAGATCCTGTTTCAAAATAAAAAGGATTTGGGATATAACTTAGTAGTTAAGCACCCTTTGGTTCAATCCCTGAGATAGATCGATCGATCTCTCTCTCTCTCTCTCTCTCTCTCTCTCTCTCTATCTATCTATCTATCTATCTATCTTTTAGTACTGAGGATTGAACACAGGGGTCCTTAACCACTGAGTCAGATCCCCAACCCTTGTTTTTTAATTTTATTTTGAGACAGGATCTCACCAAGATGCTTAGGGCTTTGCTAAACTGCTGAGGCGCTTTGAACTCTGGAGCCTCCTGCCTGAACTCCCCAAGCTACTGGGATTACAGGTGTGTAATCTAGCCCAAGAACTCTCCATACTAAAATATTTGGACCATCATACCTGTTATAAGAGATGTTATTTTTTTTAAAAAAAATAACAAGTATTGGCAAAAATGTAGAGAAAAGAGAATATTGATACACTGTTGGTCAGAATATAAATTGGTATAACCATTTCTTTAAAAAAGTATAACGGTTTCTCAAAAACTACTATATTATGTGGCCACCCACTTCTTCATATTTATCCAAAGGAAGTATAATCATAATCTCCAAGAGATATCTTCATTCCCATGTTCTCTGTGGCATTATTCACAAGAGCCAAGACATGGAATCAACCTAAGTGTCTACTTATGGATGAATGGACAAAGAAAATGTACCATATGCATACAATGAAATATTAATTAGCTTTAATAAAGAAGAAAATCCTGCCATTTATGATAACATGGATGGGCTTGAAGGACATTACACCCAGGGAAATAAGTCAGATCTGGAAAGCAAATATGATAATATTCCACTTGTACATGGAATCTAAAATGGTCAAACTCTTAAGCAGAGAACAGAATGATAGTTACCAGAGGTAGGTGGAGGAAAAATGGGAAGTCAAAGGGAACAAAGAATTACATCAAGATATATAACTTCTGGAGATTTGTTAAATACCATAATGTCTAAAGCTAACAAAATTGTGTTGTCTACTTAAAATAACAAAATAGACAAATCACATGATAAGTGATCTTATCCAAACACATACACACACACACACAGACACACACACACACACACACAGACACACACACACACACACAAATAAATAAATAAATAATCAATGATAATAAAGGGGACATAAATAACCTTTAGGAAGTGATCAAATATGTTTGTAGCCTTGATGTTGGTGATTTCTCAGATGTACACTTATCCCCAAACTTATTGATTTATGCACACTGAATATGTACAGCTTTCCACATGTCAATCATACCTCAATAAAGTGGTTTAAAAATTTGACCCTATCCTGAAGGAATGGTAGAACTTTCTTGGCTACAAGAACAGACCTGTGTTTCAACCAGATTCTTACCCGATAAGGCTGTGCAGCCTTCTCCAGAAGAACAGCAGCATGGTGCCTGTGCTCCCGAGACTCCCGACACATCACACACAGAATCTGCTGGTCATCTTTGCAGTAGTAATGCAGCTTCTCCAGATGTCGCCCACACAGCTTCTCTGCCCTTTGCTCAGGTGATCTTTCCTCTCTGGGTTGTCTCTCCTCATCTACTTTCATCCTCCAGATGTTCTCCACCAAACTGGCCATCTGCCATACATGGCGGATATTCTCTTTCTTAAAAGCTGTCTTGCAGAGAGAACAATATAATGGCTGCCTAGAAGATTCACAGACCTTAATGATGCAGTGATAGCAAAAGACATGGCCACAGTCAATGGTCACTGGCTCTCTCAAGTAGTCAAGGCAGATGGAGCACAGCACCTCATCCTCCAGGTTTCTCAGAGGGGAGGCGGCAGCCATGATCACTATGCTCAGGTCCTGCAGAGTTCCCTCTTGAGGTGGGGAATCACTTTCTAAGAAGACGAAGATAAAATGGAAGCTGTGGGTTTAATAAACATCAAAATGGAAATGTGAGAAAATGTTTTTTTTATTTTTTTATGTTCATATTGTTCCCTACCTTTTTTCTCAAAATCAAAAGCTCCTTCCAGAACACTAGTTAGGACAAGTTCTGGCCTGCAAACTTAGATGTTACACAGGCAGCTTGTTCTGGTGTAATATTTCAAAGGAAGCTCAGATACTAAGAAAATCAAACTCTTACATGTAAAAGCTAAAAAAAAAAGAGTAAGAAGAGGGAGTGAATCTCATGAAAATACAAGGGAAACAAGCAGTATAGGAAGAGGAGATAATGAGAAACAAAATTGGCAGAATTATATTGTTTTTATTGTGTGCCTGTACAAATATGTAACAATGAATCCCACTATTATATATAATTCTAATAAGCCAGAAAACCCCATTTCTAAAAATAAAATAAAATTAATAAAACCTAGAAAATTATTGACCTATGAAATTCTATCAAGGTTCTAAAATCATGTCATTTAGAACTCCAGAAGAGGAGAAAGAAATTGGTAAAGAAAAAAATATTTAAAGAAGAATGGCTGAAATTTCCCAAATATGACATGACCTAAATTTATGTCAAGAAGTTTAGCAAATGCCAATTGACAATTTGGTCAATTGATAATTTCTAGGAAAAGCACCTGAGGTACATCAAAACCAAGCTGCTACAAACCAGAAACAAACAAACAAAAAATCTTGGAAACAGACAGAAAAAAATGACATTACATCAAGGGGGAAATTATTCAAATGTTATTCTCTATTCAATCATATTTCTCATTAGACTCCACAGAGGTCAGAAAACATGGGAAAATTATAAACTACTGGGAGAGAAAAAAAATGTAAATTCAGATTTGTGTACCAGCAAAAATATTCTTCAGGAATAAAAGCATTTTCAGGTGAAGAAAATATATCACCAGCAAACCTGCCATAAAAGAACTGCTAATTGAAGTTCTTCAGGCTGTCAACAAATGATACCAAAAAGGGAAATCAGGAACTTGAGGAATGAAGGAAGAACAACAAAAGTGGTAAAAATTTGCATAAATTACCTATTTTATACCTAGGAAGTTCTTTAAAATATTAAGGACTATTGGAAGCAAAAAAAAAATACAACATAAAATCATTGAGATGATGTTCACATATATAATATGAGATGTAATACAGAAGACAACTATAGGAAAAGGGACCTATGTAGTTGTAGGGCTTCTACATTTTACTTAAAGTCATAAAGTCTGAAAGTATACTATGAAAAGTAACACAGAGAACATCTATTAAAAACCATCTATTATAAATGCCAACAAGGAAATTAACTTGAAATACTAAAAAATTTTCAAATAAACCAAAAGAAAGCAGAAAAAGGGGAACAGAAAGTAAAAAACAAAAAACAAAACAAAACAAAAAACAGGATGAAGAAGAAATAATAAAATGGTGGGTCTAAATTCAACAAGATCAATAGTTACATTTGAACTGGAGGTGTAGCTCAGTGATAACATGCTTAGTGTGGGAAGCCGTTCTCACACGTAATTGGGCACCTCTCTGATTGGGTATCAGGCATTCTGGCTAAACTGTGTCGGAACTAATCCCCACCCTCTCTAGGTGCCAGAGCCCATCCGTGTTGGCGTGTGACTGACCATTGACCCTGACCAATCACTGACCCTGACCTTGGAATGCTGTCCCCCTCGACCTTCATTGGATGGAATTTTCCCCTGAATTTCTTGTTCCTCAATAAAAGGCCACTCCCTGGCGTGCTCTCTCTCTCTCCTGCTAGTCTGTGTAAACCTTGGTGCCCCACCGGGTGGCTCTAGGCAGGAACCAGAGGGGAGAGCCGTCTCTGGTCAAAGAAAAAGTTGAGTTGAGTTTTGTGTGTTTATTTTGATCTTACTAGTTAACTTCTATGCTGCCAACCTCTTGTATGAAGCTTGCATGCTGGTCGAGAGGTGGAGCTTAATATGTGCAAGACATGGATTCAATACCTAGCACTAATAATAATAACAATAATGATTATTGTTATCATTATGAATGTCAACTATTAGAACATACCTATTAAAAGATGAAGGTTGTTAGATTAGTTTTTTTTAAAAAGACCAAACTATTTTCTATCTCCAGAAAATCCATATTAAACATAATGATATTATAAACTAAAAATTAAAATACTAGAAAATGATGTTAGAATTTAGATTTATCCCTATAAATTGTACATCTAAAAAAAAGCTTAAAGCTGAAGTAGCTATATCTATAAAGCAAGCTTAGGACTGAAATCTTACCAAGGGTAAAAGTCTATTACCTTATGATAAAATGATCAATTTCCCACAGAAACATTATTATCTCAAATGTGTATGCAATTAACAACAGAGCACCAAAACTCATGAAGCAAAAACTGATAGAACTGAACAGGGGATGTAGCCCAGTGACGGAATACTTGCCTCATATGCACAAGGTCAGACCAGAAGTTCAATCACCAACACTGCAAAAACACACACACACACAGAAAAAAAAAAAAAATCAGAATTGACTTAATCCAAAATAGATAAACCCAAATTATCTTGGAGATTTCAACTCTTTTCCCTCAAAAATTGAGAAAAATTGGTAAAAAATCAATATAGATAAATTTATGAAGACCTAAACAACACTATCAACTAACATAACCTAGACATTTACAAAATATTGTGCCCAACAAAAGCAAAATACTTTTTCTTTTCAAAATCACCTGGAATAGTCACAGAAAAGGACCATATTCTGGACCATAAAATAAACCTTAAACAATCTTACAACAATTAAAATTATAGCAAGTATGTTCTTAAACCTTAATGGAATTAAACTAGAAATAAATAATAGAAAAATATTTAGAAAGTCCCCAAACATTTGTAAACAAGACACTTCTAAGTAAGTCATGAGTTGAAGAGAATCATGAAGGATGTTAGAAAGTGTTCTGAACTGAAGGAAAATAAAAACACAACATATAAAAATTTGTGAGATGCAGCTAAATTACTGTTAGCGGAAAACTTACAGTATTACAAACCACACTCAACAAAGAAAGGCCTTTAATCAATTAACTAAGCTTTCATTTGAGGAAAATGAAACAAGAAAAGCAAATTAAACCCCCAAAAGGTGAGAGGCAGAAAATAAAGATAAAAGAATAAATTAATAAAAATCAAAAGCAGAAAAACAATAGAAAATTTCCAGGAAACTAAAAGGTTATTCTTTGAAAAGAGCAATAAAGTGACAAACCTCCAGCCAATATAACCAAGAAAAAATAAAAGCATAAAATTACAAAAGGAATGAAAAAGGAGACATTACTAAAGATCCTCTAGATATTAAAAGGATAATAATATTAAAAAGAACATTTTGCCTGAATATTCAACAACTTAAATGAAATGAAAAAAAAATTCCTTTAAATATACAAACAACCAAGGATCAATCAAGAAAGAATAGCCTAAACAGTCCTATTATCCATTAAAGAAATCAGAAAGTATATTTAAAATTTTCCCACACGGAAAACTTCAGGCTCATATGAATTCACTAAGGAATTTTACCATGCAATTAAAGAAGAAATACCATCAATTTTCCACAAACATTTCCCTACTTCTCTTGTGAGTCCATCCATACCCTGACACACAAAAATAGTACAAAGATAGTGCAAGAAAAGAAAACTACAGATGGCAATTCTTCATGAATATTTCTTAACAAAGTAATGGCAAATTGAATCCAAATATTTATCATGACCAAGTATAGTTTATCCAAAGAATGCAAACTGGTTCAATCTTATAAATGCAAAAATTGTAATTCACCACATCAACAACATAATTAAGAACAACAGTGTATGGTCATCCTAAGAAGTGCAGAAATAAGAAGTTTTTACACAGTTCCACTTCTATTTATGACTATGATTAAAAACTCATATAGTCAATTAAGAATAAAACACCCTCAAAATAATAAAAGGGAGAATCATCATCAAAAATAATGAAAAAATATATCTCACAGCATACTTAATAATGAAAGACTAAATGTTGTTTCCCCTAAAGTAAAGAAAAAGACAAGAGGGAGCTGGAGTTGTGGTTCAGTGGTGGAGCACCAGCCTAGCACATGTGAGACTCTGGGTTGGATCCTTAGCACCACATTTTAAAAAATAATAATAATAAAGTAAAGGCATTGTGTCCATATACAACTAAAAAAAATTTTTTTAAAGAAAAAGACAAGAATGTTTATTTGTCCTTACCATTTCTTTTCAATCTCAAACTAAAAGTCCTAGTTATTGTGCTAAGGCAAGAAAAATAAAAGGCATACAGATTGGAAATATTCATTGGAAGTATTCATTTACAAATAATATAATTTAAAATTCTAAATATTCTACAAAAATAGTAATAAACAAGTTTAACAAAACCACTAAACACAGAATCAGTATTTTAAAAATTGTACTTTTCTATACAAAACAAGTGAAAGTTAGATATTGTAATTTTTAAAAACATCATCATTTACAATAGTAGCATAAAACATGAAATAGATAAATTTTATAAAACGTAAAAATTAAGCAATAAAAATTTTAAAAATAAAAGTTTTAACATGTCTCAGTTGAAGTTCTGAAGAATGAGAATGTCCTCCCCCACTACCCCACACCTGGTCTCTAGATGTTTGCAAAACTGCCCTGAATAACCCTGGGAAGACATATACCTCCACATTCCTTATTTAAGGCAATGGGGAAAAAAATTATCTTAGTGATTGGTAATATATTCCCTTTGTAAACTGTCATCCTCCCAACATCCCTGAAAGTTAAAGCACCATTCTATTTATTACAAGATATAATCAAGTGATATTGCAAAATTGTGAGAATTCAAACAGCCACTAGGGGTAGAAGCCAGAATCGGTTCTCCAGTCTGGTCTGTTCCTTTCCACAATTTGCCTCTCAGCCCTAGAGAGGCAAAATAGGGGTGAGTTTGGGGGCTATCCTGTTCCTTAACTTACCACAATAAACTGGGATTTTTTTGTTGTTGTTGTCGTTCTAATGGGCAGTTTTACTTGGCATGGTGAGTGCCTAAAAGTGGTTTGAAGGTGTCTTTTATATTTTTGTTTTGGTCTTTTGGAGTGAGTGACAACTGGCATTGAAAACAACAACAGATTTGTGCAATGGATCCTTCGGCTCTTTAGGTTAAACTATGGAAAAGGCCCAGGAGGTGCCATAGTAGGGCTGTTCTTAGGACAAGAGTTGGCCTAATCCAGCCCTGAAGCATGTCTCCCCCTCCACATCTCCCTAAAGGGGATAATATTAATAATCCCTGTTCTAAGAGGACTGCAGAAAGGATTAAATGAGATCAGGTAAGTGAAGATCACTTTGCAAGGCAAAATGCCCTACAAAATGTTGGGTTTTTTTACTTCCACCGCAATAAATAAGAGCAAATGTATTGTTTTCAGCTGACATCCTGAGCCTCATGGGTATCCTTATTTTGGCCCCTGTATTTATTTCCCTTTGTCGGGGCCGCCACACTGCCCGCTCAGGCCTGGTCCGCCCTCCCTCGGCCAGCCTGAGACAGAGGGACCGCGTGCTCGGTACCAGGGAGATCAGGGACGGCCTGGGTCACTCACTGTGCAGAAGCCTCTGTGATCACTCCAGAGCCCTCCAGGACAGCCCCTACCCTTCCTGCGCCTCCGCGACCCCAGGCCCTAGGGCCCACCGTTTAGTCCCTCTATGAAGCCTCCACCCCGTCATGCCAAGAACCGCAGCCGTTGCCCAGAGCCCCGTGCCTCGGCCTTCTGGCCCCTCGCGCTGGGGTCGCCTCGGAGAAATGCAGGTTGGCTGCCTGCGCCAAGGGAATTAGTGGATTAATATGTTTTTACAGTAATTGCGGTTTGTACCGTATTGTGACGCTCAACAGTCCTGTGAAGGGGGACACAAAGGCGCTAGTAGTCCCATTTTACAGATAAATTGAGGACAAGGCCAGTAACCCCAACACTAAAAAGCCAAGATGGCGGAGCTCGAGAGGCCTCTGAGGGCTGTCAAGGGGAGCCCCGCGGTTGCCCACGCCCCTGGCCAAGCCTGGCTTCCCGCACCAAGGGTCAATTGGAGTTAGATTCTGTGGCAGAGGTTTTGTTTATCTGGTGTTAAGTGTTTCTGCCTGTTAAGGGCCGCCAACCTAGGTGGCTGCCGCTTCGAGGCTCCCGCGTCCTACTCCGTGTCCCCGCCTTCCCTCCAAGTGGCCCGCCCCGTCTCCACCTCCCTCGGCAGCCCTGGCGGCAGCCATCTCGCCCAGTCCCGGGTGCCGCCTGCGAGCGGGGTCGGGGATCCACGCTGCCCACGACGCCTCCTCCTGCACGGGCTGAGGCGAGAGAGGGCCTGGTCCCGGCTGGCAGCCAGGACATGCACCTGAAGATGAGCAGGGAAATCGCCCCGCTTGCTGAGGGGTGGGCCGAGGATGGAGGCTACCCTGTGCACGCCAAACCAGCTCACCGAACAGGCTCACCGGCCCTCCTGGAGGGCGGCCAGCCCTGTCCCAGGGTGAGCCTGGATGGCAGTCTGCAGTCACCACCTCAGCCAAGCTGCTCCCGACAGACTCTTGCCTCCTACAGCCAGCAGCCCTCTGCCAGGCACTGAGGGTCCCCAAGCCTGCCACCACAGTAGCTGGTGCCCAGCAAACTTCAAGCTGATTGGCTCCTCTGCATTCACGCTCATTGGGCTGTTTCCCCGCCCTTTAAGACCACGGAGCTGCTCATTGGGGGATTCTTTTGGCTCCACCCATGCGACCCAGCCAATCTGCCTCAAGAGCCAGAAAATTGAAAATGACCTAAGCATTCTGGTTGAGTGTTCTGGCAGGAAGTGTGGAGGTGGCTGTTGGGCTCTAGGGGAATTCCTGGAGAGTTTGCCTGGTGCCAGGAGGGTGCAAAAAATAAAGTTTGTTCCTGCTTGACAAGTGGCTCTTGAATTGTGCCCAGCCAGACTACCGTATTTGGTGGCCTGTAGAGGGAACTACTGAGGGTAAGTAATAAGGTAAACTGCTCGCCTCTGAGGGTAGGGCGAGAGGATGGGTAGTCATTTTAAGATTCTTCTTTGGTTTTGTTTCGCTTTTAAGGTGCCTGTCCCTGGAGATGGGTGAGACGAAAAAAACAAACCGCTCACATCTGAGGATAAACTATTTGTGTCTGAGGAACAGATAGGGAGAAAGGACGGATGGACATTTCAGGAGGATAGAAAGGCTGATATAATGAATTTTTGTTCCATTTTTTGTTTCTTTGTCTCAGTTTTCATTTGCATTATCTTAGTGAGGGGTATCTTCATCACAGAAATATGGAATTAAAAATTAGTAAAAAAACAAACCGATAAAATGTTAAGTAAATTGTTAGAGGAAGGAGGCACCCCAGTAAAATCAAGAACAGTTAGAGCATACGTTGAAGATTTAAAAAGGATAGAAAAGGAAAACCCAGGAACTCTGCCAGTCGGCACATTACTGTTATGGATTTTGGTACAATCTTGTTTACTCAGTCAAGGAGAAGACATTTTAGATCAAGTAAAAGAGGAGGCCTCTCGAGATAGAAAGGGGAAGAAAGTTTAGAGCAGAAAAAGCCATCAGGAGAGAAGTTACAACAGGAGACTACTACTAACACCTTTCTATCACCAGAGGGCGTGTCCAACCAACAGCTCCACCTATGGATACAACATATGCTGGGAGGGCCCCAACCCCCATAGTTGATAGATGGGATCCTGAGGCAGGACCTCAAAGATTAGCATGCCCTGTATTTGAGCAGGCAGGAGGGCAGCAAATTCACCATGCTTTAGATTTCAAAACAATGAAGCAGCTAAAAGAGGCTGTAACAAACTATGGTCCTCAAGCACCCTTCACTATAAGCATGGTCAAATCCATTACCGATTTGAACATGACACCAGCAGATTGGACTAGTATGTGTAAAGCTGTGCTAAATGGAAGACAATACCTGTTATGGAAGGTTGCCAATGAGGAATTTTGCACGGAGACGGCTAATGAGAAATTTGGATAGAATTGATATGTTTGCCTTTATTATTTATTGTACTACCAACAAAAAATATTCCTAAAGGAGTATTTTGGCAAGAAGGCCCATTATTATGGATACATTTATCTTATTCTCCTAACACTATTCTTACTAGGTATCCTGAGGCTGTAGGACAATTAATACTCAAAGGAATAAAAACAGCAAAGGGAGTGTTTGGAATTTCTCCCAATAAAATTATTACTCCATATACTATGAATCAAATTGATGAATTAGCATTTCCACGATACTCCTCTGGGCGGGCTGAGGCGAGAGCGGGCCTGGTCCCGGCTGGCGGCCAGGACATGCACCTGAAGATGAGCAGGGAAATCACCCAGCTTGCTGAGGTGAGGGGCAGGGCGAGGACAGAGGCGACTCTGTGCGCGCTGAGCTGTCTCACTGGCCCGCCTGGAAGGCATCGAGCCCTGTCCCTGGGTGAGCCCAAGTGGGCCGCCAAGTACAGTCTGCAGTCGCCACCTCAGCCGTGCTGCTCCTAACAGACTCTTGCTGCCCACAGCCTGCAGCCCTCTGCCAGGGCTTAGGGTCCAGCATGCCCACCTCCGCAGTAGCCGGTGGCCCCAGCAAACTTCCAGCTGATTGGCTCCTCTGCGGTGACGCTCATTGGGCTATTTCCCTGCCCTTTCAGACCATGGAGCTGCTCACTGGGGGACTCTTGGCTCTGCCCACACGACCCAGCCAATCTGCCTCAAGAGTAGGGAAAATTGAAAATGACCTAAGAGTTCAGGTTGAGTGTTCTCACCAGAAGTGCAGGAGGTGGTGGTTGGGCTCTAGGGGAATTCCTGGAGAGCTCTCGAGGTGCGGTGTGGGTGCTAAAAATGAAGTTCGTTTCTGCTTGATAAGTGGCTCTTGAATTGTGCCCAGCCAGACTGCGGCATCTGCCATTCTCAACCATTATTTGCTTCTGCCTTTTTGAAAATTCCAAGTGCTTCTCTCCTACTCCCCTACCCACCAGCCCCTCCTCCACCAAACTTTTGGAGAGGTCATGAGACATTGGAGTCCCTCAGATTGGTGGAACTGCCCAAATCTAACACAAAGAAGGGAGAGCTATAGGGAAATGCAGTAAGAATAGAAAAGGAGACCTGTGCTCCAGCTTGTCATATAATAGAATGAGGTAGATTTCTGGAAACAAGCCTCATTTTCAAGCAGACATGAATCTAGAGAGCCTGGAGATCTAATAGGGACACAAAAACATAGTTGTCTGGCTCAAAGACAATTATATACATTGGTATCCTAGAATTTTTATTTATTTTTTATTTTTTCATTTTATTTTATTTTTTAGACAGGGTCTCTTGATAAGTTGCTAGGGCCTCACTAAATGCCTGAGGCTGTCTTTGAATCAATTTTCCTGCCTCAGCCTCCTGAGCCCCTGGTATTACAGGCATGAGCCACCAAGACCAGCTAATCCGAAAATTCTTGCCCCACATTTTCCTTAGAGTACCAGTGGAATGGGATGAACCCTTCTGGGGCACACCCCAAGTGCCCTACCTCCTCCAGGTGCCGAAGTCTGGCTGGGCACAAATAACCAGGAGGTCACAAGCCACTTGTAGATTCAAGCAGGAACGAACTTTATTTCCGAACTCATTCGAATGCCACCCACGCGACCCACCAGGAACTCCAGGCGAGCTCAACGGGAACTCAACCATCCTAATGGCTTTCTGGCACCACCTCTCAACCACTCCCCCTGGCAAAAGGCCAGGCACCATCCCAACTCGGCTGCGGCTCTCAACATCCAGGCATGCCTACAATTACCACCCAGTCAGTCCACTCACACTAGGATGAATTTATTAGGTTACAGTTTACTCAATCCAATTGTTTCACCTCCAGACATTCCTGCATTAACACATGGGTTTAGGGGAACACCTCATATCCAAAGCAAAACAGAAAACAATTCCATTTATATTAGCATCTAAATAAATCCTCAGAAATGAACTTAACCAAAGAGGTGAAGATATTTACACTGAAAACTAAAATATATTGCTGAAATTAAGGAAGCTCTAAATAATTTTTTAAATCTTTTTATTTCATGGATAAGAAGACTTAACCTTGTTAAAATGTCAGTGATACCCAACATAATCTACAATTTCAATGCAATCTATCAAAATTTTCACAGCCCTTTTCACAGAAATGAAAGAGCAGATCCTCAGATTTATATGGAATTGAAATGAACCCCAAATAGCAAAACAAACTTAAAAAACAAAACTAAAAATGTCACACTTCCCAACTTCAGGTCTTATTTCAAAGCTACAGCTATAAAAATAATATGGTACTGGCATAAGGACAGACATTTAAATGAGTGAGGTAGAATACATAGCTGAGAATAAACTTGACACATATTGTCAAGTGATTTTCAACAAGAGTGACAAAGCCATTTATTGGGGGAAAGCACAGTCTTTCCAAACAAATGATGCAGAGAGAACTGGATAAACACATATAAAAGAATTATATTGGATCTTAACTTTACATCAAAGCCCATTTGAGCTAAAACTATAAAATACTTAAAATAAAACATTGGTGAAAATATATGGCATTGAATCTAACAACAATTTCTTGGGTATGACATCAAAGGTACAGGCAAAAAAGGGGAAAAAACATAGATAAATTGAGCTTCATCAAAGTTAAGAACTTTTGTGTATCAAAGGACACTATTGAGAAATCAAAAAAGAAGTGTTAAAAAAAAGAAGTGTTTAGGTGGGAGAAAATATTTGCGGGTCATAAATCTGAGAAGGACTTAATATCCAGAATACATAAATAACTCCTATAACTCAACAACAAAAAGGCAGCACAGTCAAAAACAGGCAAAAGACTTTAATAGACATGTCTCTAAAGACATATAAACGGGGCTGGGGATGTGGCTCAAGCGGTAGCGCGCTCGCCTGGCATGCGTGCGGCCCAGGTTCAATCCTCAGCACCACATACCAACAAAGATGTTGTGTCTGCCGAGAACTAAAAAATAAATATTAAAAATTCTCTCTCTCTCTCTCTCTCTCTCCTCTCTCACTCTCTCTTTAAAAAAAAAAAAGGACATATAAACGGCCAATAATAATACGAAAGGATTTTCAACATAAAGGAATACAAATTAAAATCACAATGAAATACTTCTCTACACCTACTAAACTGATCAAAAAATTTTTTAAATGGGAAAATATCAAGTATTGGTAAGAATCTGGAGAAATTAGAGCCCTTGTTCATTGTTGGTAGGAGCATAAAATTGGTGCAGCCACTTTTCTACTCCTTAATCACTTTGCTAATTCCAATAGCTTTGGCAATTCTTTAAAAAGTTAATCATAGAACTTCCATGTAATCCAGCAATTGCCCCATAGGTCTATGTCCAAAAGACTCAAAAGCAGGAATTGAACACCAATGTTCATAGCAGTTTTATTCACAATAAGTAAAAAGTGTAAAGAACCCAAGTGTCCATCAACAAATGAATAAACAAACTCATTCATATGTATACATGAAATGGAAGGCTATTCAGACATACAAAGAATGGAATTTTAACACATGCTTCAACATGATAGACCTTACACCAAAGCCCATTTGAGCTAAAATAATGTCTCCTTGAAGAAATTATGCTCAGGGAAAT